ACCAAGTAGTTTGCTGAGTGATGAAAACAGTCATGCTGACAACTACTTACAGCAGTTACATGTGAAGGTGCTGGCTAAAATGTTAAGTGAAACAACAACTGAAGAATCAGGATTTACCCTAGGAAAGCCATGATGAATTAATACTGGCTGGCCTTGGAAAATTTGTTCTTATAATTCACCTCAGTAACAAGTTAAAGGATAAAAAAAAATAAACAAATGAAGTTGACCTAAAACTGTCACTTCAGTAGACATGGAAAAAACCCCCATCTTCATCATGTGTTTAAAAACAAACAGGGCCAAGGATGTAGCTCAGTGGTGCACCACCTGCCTGGCAAGTGTGAGGCCCTGAGTTCAATTCCCAGTACCAAAAAAGAAAAAAGAAAAATAGAAAAACAAACAAGCTGGGCATGATGGTACACACTTGTAATTCTAGCACTCTGAAGGATGAGGCAGGAGGATTACACGTTTGAGTCTAACCTGGGCAATGTAGTGAGACCCTGTAGCAAAACTTCAAAAATTAAAAATGGCTGGGAATAGAGCTCAGTGTGAAGGACCTGGGCTCAATCCCAGTGCTGCAAAAAATAAAATTAAAGCCGGGGATTTAGCTCAGTGGTTCTGCCACCTGACTTGCAAGTGCAAGGATCCGAGTTCGATCCCCAGTACCAAAAAAAAAAAAATTAAAATAAAAACAAGCAAACAAAACAAGATATTTATTAGCCAAATACCTGAATAACATAACAAAGGCTATATAACAAATGCCTCAAACAAACATATTTAATGAGGAAATGCTAAAGGCTTTCTTTTAAATAAGGTACAAGGCAGGGATCCACCCACCATCACACTTCTACTCAACACTGTACAGTGGAAAAGCTGAAAAGGTCCTGAGATCAGTCACTGGGCAAGTCAGAAGATTCAGTATAGCATTTTACATCCTTCATTATAGCTCTTGTTACAAAGTGTTCCGAATATCATTCAGGCATGGGTTCTCTTAAGTATCATCATTCGAATTCCTTGCTGGTGGATTAGCTGGTAGTCTGCAGTGGGGATATACAATAAGCTATTGTCTGTGCCTTGGGTCAGTATAATTTGTCAAGACCAATACTCAAATTGGAATCTGAAATGTAGTGGTAAAGGAAGAGGGGCCACGAGGAGGTGATTCCTTCAGTGCATTAAGGCATTCTCAAGAGAAGTTGTTGTTCTCAGAAGTCTGAATTAGTGGGCTTTAAAAGGAGCTTGTTAAAAAGTGAGCCTGGCATCTCCCCTCACTATCACACATGTTCCCTCTTTTGCATGTGGCAGCTTTTCTTTCTGCTTCCCCACAGTGAACTGAAGAAGTATGTGTCCTTCATCAGATGTGGCTGCCTGATTTTAGACTTTCCAGTTCCTAGAACTAAAATAAGCCTTTTTTCTTTATGTATTACCCAATTTCAGGTGTTTGTTAAAGGAACTGTGTTTGTTAAACAGAAAACTGACTAAGATTGTCTATTAGGAGGTCTGGTTAATATAAAAGGGCAAGATGATTAGAAGTTTACAAAGTTGCTGCTATTTCAGATCGATATCTCTGTGCACATAAGACAGTGCAATCATAGATCTGAAGTCTTGATATTTATAAGAGAAACTCTATGTGGCACTGTCGTTGGTTTCTCTTGAGGGAAACCGGAGACCCCAGAAAGCACCGACTTTTAAAGAAAGAAAAGGAGACAGCCTGGGGGACGAACAGCAGTTTAATTCCTCTGGGACTATTCAACAATCACAAAGGAAAGAAGCAAGGCTTTTATACACGTAGGAAAGCAGCTTAGTTATTCTGGCTATTGTCTTTCTGATTTTCACCTCTGATGATAACCAGTGACTTTAAGTGACTCACAAAAGCTACAGGAGAATTCACTAGTCCCCTGTTTCCATTCACCAATCCCGTACATCAAAGAGCACACTGCAGCCCTCTTCTTATCAGATAGTTATCAAGAGAGCAGGACAACTTTAGCCAAAAAATCAAGCCCACCGGCCCACCATAAACATCACAGATGTGCATAGTGAGTCGTATCTCTCTTACCACCCGTAGAGTCATTGGGTCGCAGTCCTCTGATCCCAGAAAATGGTAAATAAGAAAACTAGGAAAACCTGTTTTTCTCCTGTGAGACTTTTACAAGGTCTCAAAGTTTTCTGGTATTCTTTTAACAAACAGATTTGTGGAATTTCCCAGAAATGACTTAATTCTCTTAGTTAACAAACTTCTTGTGATCTATTCTTACAACTAGATAGCTGAATTCTACCATTTCCCACATGGCACTATCAGTCACATCTTTTATCTCAGACTCTTACCTAACCACTGGCTTGAATCTTTTCATTCCACTGTATTTGATAATTCTAATTGGGAAGAAATAAGATGCAATATGTGAATAACAGTTTGATTTCATAATGTCTGTAACAGGTTGATTTTAAATGCATATGTTATGCCTTGTACTCTATGGAGAATACAAATACTTTTCCTCCAAATGAGATTAAGTTTATAGCAGAAAACTCTAGATATTATTGTCTTTATTTTGGTAAAGTTAAAAGAAAGGTCAAATCTACCTATAAATGTTTTCATTATCAACCAAGAAAGGATAAAGTTAAAAAATTTTACTCAAGAAATTAGGAAGAAAACCAAAAACATGTACAAAAAGAGGGGCAAAAGAATTAATGAAAGTAGAAATAAATTAATTAGAAATAGAGTAGACAGGGCCGGGGATTTAGCTCAGTGGTTTCGCCGCCTGCTGCGCAAGAGCAAAGATCCAAGTTCAATCCCCGGTACCAAAAAAAAAAGAGAGAGAGAGAAATTAAGAGTAGAATTTATAAACTAATCTAACCAGTTCATTGTATTCATGGAATGTGGCTGGATATACTCTGTTCTTCTGGACAGCAAGATTAAATATTATAATCCTGTCAATACAGGTTTGCATGCATACATAACCATGTGTAAAAATAAAAGAAAAATGTGAAAAGGCATATAGCAAATTGTGGGCAGTTTTTTCTCTAGGTGGTAAGAGTAAAGGTAATTTTTATTTCATTTTTTATACTTTTCTGTATTTACTAAATCTTATGCAATGACTATGATTTTACCAGAAAAAAATAAATTTTTGGGGGGGGGTAACAGGGATCGAACTCGGGTCCTTGTGCTTGTGAGGCAGGTGGCAAATAAATTCTTTTTTAAGATGCCATATTATTTCTCATTGACAATATATTTACTATAATGCCAATCAAAATACCAAAAAGAGATGAGAGATTGACAGAGGACTTCAAGATGCATCTGAGAGACTAGACATTTTGCAAAGGTGTCAGCAAAGAAGAATATTATTCTATTAGGTAATAATGCAAAGCTTCCTTTATCTACGTACAATGCAAAAGAGTTCCTACCTAGTAACAAGTAATGAAATTGCTTCTATACCTTCAAAAAAAATCTGTGGATTTAGAACACAGACAATGAAGAGAACTCCTAACACAATGTATCAATAAGGCTACCAGAAAGCTGACTGCAGAATCAGTGTACACAATGACCAATCTTTAAATGAAGCAATAAAGAAAAGTCTCCTTGTGGGGCATATGGCACAAGTTGCTTCTTGAAACAGTAACAATTCCTGAAATAAGGTGGAAAGATGCTTTTAATCTCCCTTTCCAGTAGACCTGCAAATCATACACCCAGAGCTTGGAGAAGACAAGAAAAGGAAGCCATCTCTTTGCACCTTCCTAGGACCTCTCAGTGAGGTAAGCAGAGTATTATACAATCACTATCAATCTTGGCTCACATAATGAAATTCCAGACCAATCAAAAGGTTATTAAAAATGAAAGAACTGATCATTTATTTGACCTTGAGCTGGGGAACGTGTTTCCAAGCTAAAAATGAAAGGAAATGATAAAACAGATTTGGATGACATAATTTAATATCAAGTGTTGGCAAGGGCTGAGGAAAACAAGCGCTCTCATGTACTGCTGGTGGGAACAAATTGGCATGATATTTCTGGAAGGCAATATGGCTGAATGTGTTGAAAGTCTTTAAATGTTTATGCTCTTTGACGCACTAAGTCAACGTCTAGGAATTTTTCCTAAAGAAATAATCAGATATTTATAACACTGAAAGATCTGAAAGAACACAGACATCCAACAATATATATATTTTCAACAACAAAGAACTAAGTGAATATAAAATAATTATATAATAAAATATTATCTGGCCTTTAAAAGGAGATTAAAGAGTATTTGATGGTGAGAATATGCTTAGAAAATAAATGCACCAAAAATTACTAACATGTACCAGGCTGGTTCTAAACTTTAATTTTTTTGTGGGGATTGAACCCAGGGCCTTGTGCATACCAGGCCATCACTATACCTCTGAACCATCCGTGGGTGTGAACATACACACACAAATACATATTTGGAAGAAAACACCAAAACAGTGGCTTGTTATTTCTTGGCAGAAAACCAGGATGATTTTAACTGTCTGTTACTAGCAGCTAAAAGAATACTGAAAGACCTGGATAATCCTTATTCAATCTTGTTCAAGGCTCAGTTCAGTTGCCACCTCTTTAGGACTCCTCTCTCCTGACTCCAATATTATACTTAGAATCCCTCCTTTGTACTATAGACTGGGCAAAAACTTCCTAGTATTCCTTTCTTATTTTCTGTGATGTTCAGACCCAAAACCACAGCCTCTACTCATGTGAGGCAAGCTCTCTGCTGAACTACACCCCGTCTTTTGATATTTCTCATCCCTGTATCATCCTGTCTGATATGATTTACTATAACACCAGTATTCTTTGAATTGCTCATTGCCAGAAATTTGAGTTTTTCCCTTTTAAATCCTCAGTGCCAATCTGTCTGGAATCTAAACAGGTCTTTGAGCTACAATGTTGGATTTATTAACGAAACTGAACAAATGATTTCCTCTGCTCTGCAAATTTAAAGGTCAAGGAGACAAACATTAACAAGGATGAACAAATATCAGTAAAACAATATCTCTTCTTACCTTAGCTAGCAGGCTTGAAATGTGTTTAATTTCACCATTTGCTTTTAGCAATTCTTGTCTGAGCTCAGTGCAAGAAAGTTCCAGCTGATCTTTCTCAGCTCTAGCTACTTTCAACATTTCCTGAAGTTCACAGTTCTCCGCTGTTTGCCCCAAGAAACTACTGGTCTCCATGGCTTTTTGTTTCTCACCTTCCAGGTGAGCCTTCAAAGACCCATTCTCCATCTTCAAGCCTTCCAAGGTAACTCTACATTCTTCCAAAGTTTTGGTCATCACATTATTATTACACCGTTCTAGTTCTAGGAAGCCATTCAGTTTTTCATTTTCTTCTTTCAGGTGCTTGATCATGTCCAAAGCTCCTTGGTTTTCTTCTTCAACCTTCCGTAAGCCACAGGTCAACTGCTGCTGAATGTTGAGCAGCTTTTCTCTTTCAAAGCGGCTTTTCTCAAGAATATCTGTGCATTTCTGCTCTAGCTCAAGGATTTTCCCTTCTTGGGCACTGGGCTCATCATTCTTCACTCGCTCTTGTAAAAGGTTTATCAGTTTCTCGTTTTCTTGACTTAGCTGCTCTGCCCTCTCTCGATGCTGGTGGAAGGACGTTTCTAAAATAGTTTTCTCATCCACTAGCTTCTCATTCTCAGCTGTCAGTTCCTGCACCATTTGTTGCTGATCTGATAACTCTTGTAGAGTGGCCTGTAGCTCCTCTGCAGTGCTGTGGTGATTCTCTTCCATCTTCTGTATCTTTTCTGTAAGGGAAGCAAGGGACAGCTCACTTGCATTGTTTGGAGAATTCCCAGTGGTTGAAAACTTGGAGTTCTTAAAAGGGTTGCTGGTGGAGGACAGGGGCCGAGACGGGGTATCAGTGATGATATGCTCAAAATCTGAGGCATCTGGTGACAAAGAAGCTTTGGTAACATCACTGCTTGAAGAACCGGATGTCCGTAACATATTTCCATATGTGTTTTTCTTATACTCATCAATTTCACTTGACAGTTCATTTCTGGTTGGGCTTCCAAAGCTTGACTCTTGAGTTATAGATGTTGGGCAGCTGCTATCACCAGTGTGACTTGCTGCCCCTTCTGAATTTGGTGAATCCTCAAGGTAAGTCAGTTTTTCCTTCAAGATCTGGTTATCTTCTTCTAGGTCAGCAAGCTCTTTCTGAAAGGTCTTGTTCTTCTCTTCAAGGGTTCTTATCAAAGGTTCTGTGTTTCCTGGTGGAACTGATGTTCCATCTGAACTTTGATCTGAAGCATCAGTCCCCTCGGTGCTCAGGGCCCTTCTTTCCTTGCATTTCTTTAGTTCGCTTCGAAGCCTGTTGATTTCATTATCTTTGGTTTTGGCTTCTGCTATAAGTTCCCGAACTCGGGATTCAAGCACAGCCTTCTCTCCTGCTTCGTTCTCTTGCTTTAGTTTTGTAGAAGTGGTCCTCAGGTGCTTAGTAGGGGTGTGAGTGCAGGAGGAAGTTGGACTGGACCCTGATTTCCTTGGGTTGGAGGGACCTCGTGCCACAGACCTCTCTCTTGAGACAGTTACTGAGAGTTCCCGGGGAGTTGGGATGCCTGTCCGTTTGGTTGTTGGAACAGCCACTAAAGACAGAAACAGGAAAAAAAAAAATGAGGGGGGAAAAAAGAGCAAGCGTTTTTGTAACAAAAGCCAAATGACTTCAAAACACATTGCACAGTAAATGGTATGACTGTCATCCTTCATCCATTTCCTACTCCTCTAGATAGTTACCCAGTTCCAATTGGAGTTTCTGTACCTTCTTCTACCACCCTATTCGTAGATGGGAAAGTGACTCCTAGCATGAGCTGCTCAGTAAGTACAATCCTAACCCCAGCCACAGTTGCTGTTCAAGGCTTGGCACATACCTACATTAAGTTCAGTGAACACAAGGAAAATTTCCAGGGAAGGCTGTAAACATCACTGGACATCAGTGAGAGAGCAGGTAGATATGGAAATGGTTGGCCACCACCTTGCCCTCATAGGAGGAAGGTGAGACTGCAGACGACAGGGTAGAAAGAAACCAAATTCTTAATGGTATTGTTGAGCTGCTAAGTCAAATCAACTGTGAATATTGGCCTACTGGTGGTCTTCCAGTATATACAAACAAATACATATGCTCATACATAAATCATCTTGAATGAGGGCTTTCTGCAACTTGTAATTTAATACAGGTGAACTGATAACATGGCAACTATACAGCCTTTTGACAAAATATATTTATTACGTATTTCTCAATAAAAACTTGTAGAAAACATCATTATCAACATATTTTGACTGAGCACAGGTTTAAGAAATCAAAAGAAGGAAAAAAAAAAAAAGAAATCAAAAGAAGGGCTAGGCATGTAGCTCAATAGTACAGCAGCACTTCCCTAGTATGTACAAGGCCTAGGTTCCAGCACTGAAAGAATTTCAAAAAAAAAGAGGAAAAGAAAGGAAAAAAAAAACCCTTAAGAAATCAGAAGATATAAACAATACTAAAATCAGACTGATCTGACCAAGTGTTCTATCACTTTTAACAAGTGGAAACCATGTGCTCATTTGTATGCATAGAAACAAAAATAAATGCGATAAAGGATGTATTATGTGTATCTATAGAACAGCTAAAAATGTTAAAGGAATTTATATGACAGAAATAATACAGAATTTAAAATTCATATAATGAGAAATGTAAGATGTATCTAATTTTAAAATGTTTTAATCCACACTACATTAAAGACAATACCAAAAAAAAATTAAGTGGTGAAAACCCAGACATCAATCTCCTTTATGTTCTGGAATTGAAGCTTACTTCTAAGGCTACAGGGAAATGAGAACTCTGAATCTAGTAACAAATGCAAGACATTTGATGAGTCCAGACTGATTGCTATAACTTGGGAAGGGATTGTCTCTGATAACAAAGGATTACAGAAGTGACCACCAATCTCTAGGTCTCTACAGTATAGGAAGTGAGTATGGGAGAATATAGATTCAGAATGGCTGCACCCTGGTGCTAATACAAATTTGGAGCCCAGCCTGACCCAGCTGCTCCAAACTCACTACCAAGATTGTGAGCAGACACGAGAGCTGCTACTCTAAAAGGCTGACTCAGCAATGATGGGGTATAGGCAGATAGCAGCATTGCTCAGCTTCTAGCATGGAGTCCTCCTGAAATCATCATATCATCAAGGCCAAGCTATCATTAATACAGAGAAACTACAGTTTGGGGGGGTTTTTTTGGTACCAGGGATCGAACTCAGGACCTTGTGCTTGTGAGCCAGGCATGGTGCCGCTGAGCTAAATCCCTGACCCCAGAAACTAGTTTTTAAATTAACTTTTCTAAATTAAGCTCCTGGGACACTGAGTACTATAACAGATTAAAAAAAAAACACCTCTAGGCATCCAGATGTCTCATTTATATCATATTAAATTTCTCAATGAAGAAATGATTTAATTATTCTTGTAAAATGAAGATTAAAAGCACTAAGCAATAAAATGTCTTAATAATGCCAATTCTCTAGAATGAAATCACCTTGGCAAGGACCCTTATAAAAACTGGAAGGTAATGAAGGTTTCACTGTAACTATGGTCCAACAGGAAACCCCAGGACTGATTATCACACCAGCATCTTCCATTCCTAAAATACCACTAAAATAGGGCTCTTCTCCCTCTTTCCCTACTTCTTCCCTTTTCTCCATTCCTTTCTTTCCCCCTCCCTCCATCCACTCCTCCTTTCCACTTTCAGTCATTTGTTGGTTTCAACGATGAGGAAAACTCAAATAGAACAGCATATCAACTTTGTCATATTTTTAGCTAGAGTTTAACTCCTTTTTTCTGCCAAATCTTACTCAGTCCTCCTAAATGCTACCTATGCCTTATCTACTCAGATTATTTTCTTAAACAGCAAATCACAGTTTATTTATGAAATATAACTCATTGTGTAACTACAGAATATTAAGTCTAGTTGTATTACATATGTTCTTTCTTTCTTTCTTTTTTTTTTTTGGTACTGGGGATCGAACTCGGGACCTTGCACTTTCAAGGTAGGTGACAGAACCACTGAGCTAAATCCCCGGCCCCATTACATATGTTCTTTAAAAAAAAAACTGTTGCTGTTTTCTAAAGGCTCTTCCCATTTCTGCATACATCATTTCAGAAAGTACAAGGAGCAGAGAGCACATTTAGAGAGCTGTTAAAATCATCATCTGACCACACCAAGACTGGTACCTGGCTGCTCTGGCAGTGAGAGACAGCCCAACATACCTGCTCTGGTTACTCAAGGAAAGAAGTAAAGTGGCCTGCATGATGTAATAAACTGGAAGGAGCCTACCCCCAGGAGTCTCCTTCAAATACAGACAGTCTCAATTTACAATGGGCTGACTTACAATAATGCAAAGGTGTAAATATAAAGCCATTCAGAAAAAAAAAATTTTTCTTCGGAGACAAGGTCTCGCTATGTGATTCAAGCTGGCCTTGAATTCACTACGTAGCCCAGGCTGGCCTTAAACTCTTGGTGATCCTCCTGTCACAGCCTCCTAGTGCTAGGATTGCAGGCATGTGCCACCATGCCTACTCAGAAAAATGTTGTTTTTCCCTTTTAGTGCAGGCTTCAATAAATCATAAATATTCAATACTATGTTATAAAATAGTCATTGTTTAGCTGAATTTTGCCCAGATCTAAGCTAACGTAAATATACTCAGTAAGTTTAAAGTGGGCTAGATTAAGCTATGTTCAAAAAATTATGTGTATCAAAGGCACTTTTAACTTAGTGTGTTTTCAACATATGATGGATGATCAGGACATACCCTATTGTAAGCTGAGGGACAGCATATCTGTCCTGTAAATTAAGTCTCTTTGCTAAGCAATACATCCTGAAGATGGTCACATCCCCTTATATAACACATCATATCAAGGTAACAGTGGGGATAGAGAGAGAACTAGGCCAGAAGAACAGGGGCTGGCTCAGTCAGCACCCGCATGTCTTCTACCCTCTTCCCAACCTCCTATTCACTGCCACCCAGAAGGCTGTCTGTTTGAATGCTGAGGTAAAAACAAGCTGCACCTCATAATTATGAAGAACAATACACTAAATGAAATGTTTAATATGTTACATTTTAAAATGCCAGTGAAAGTTATACTATGGTTTATCAACAGTATACTCCAAGTACTCCACAATGTATCCTCCCCCCAGGTGAAGAAGCCTTTGTTCTTGTTGGCATCTGTGTAACAGTCCAATGACCTGACCTATCTTCCGCCCATACAGACCATGATTTGGCCCAATCTTGTGTTTGCCTCCCTTTCTCACTGTGTGGCAGACATCTACAGAAAAATATTCTTGCTTTCCTCAACATCACCCAATTTTTGTTACTAGCACAATGAAAGTTGCCACTCAGAAGCCAGACGTCTCGTTCTCTTTTTTTATTATAACTATTTTCCTGGTGATTTTACTCAACCCTGTGATTGAGGTTACTCTCACCAACCCTTAAGGAAGACTCTGAAATTAACTCTTATATGGACCTCTTTTCAGAGCAATGGATCTGAAAATCAAGCTAAACAATTGAGAAGCATAACTAAATTATCACAAAAGCTTCTCAAACTACACAAAAGGGAAATGAAGACTAAAAAAAAACTGAACAAAATGTGCAAAGGGGTTCAGAAGCTATGAAAGGGAGAAGGCTAATTTTATAGGCCACTCAGGGAAGTTCTCACCAATGATAGGTTTGAGATTCATGGTAGCATGTACCATGAAAACAAGGTCAGGGCTGTACCACCGCTCCCAGCACTGAGGAGGTGAGCCACTCCGACGCCAGCAGCACTCCCCACTTCTTCGAAATGAGAAGACATGTAAACAAGCCTCAAAACCAGACTTTCAGATCACCTACATCAACCACAAAGGGAAATGAGATGAAACAATCTGATACTCAATCACAGGGACGCTCTGAACTGGAAATGAAAGAGGATCTGGAAAAAATGAAATCAGAAATAATTTCTCAGATAACAGCAGAGGTTGTGCTCATAGTGCAAGACTTGATTAATAAATCTAGAGAGGACACAGATAAAAAAAGAGAGGAGCTCAGGAACATGATGGAATCCCAACATAGGAAACAAATGGAATCCATAAAACACATGCAAACAGATTTCCAGGAGATTAAAAACTCCACTGAAAGTCTACGCAGCAGAATGAGCCAATGTGAGGACAGAATTTCAGATACA